GAAAAATGCTTTCTTAAGCTTCTTTTTGTGGAAAACATTAGGAAGATTTGAAGAAATGCAAAATGAAAATGAACAAACTGAGGATTGCCTTGAAAAGCCATTAATCCAAGACTTTAAAACCTTTTTATCTAACTGACAGGGAATAAATAAATATAATCAGTAAGCCTGATCAGTCAGAGGTTCTTACCCTTACTTATCTGTATTATTATGGATTGTTCAACAGAATTTACTTACAGCAAAACGTTGAGTGGTATAGACCTCATTTTCAGCTGTTAACACAGTAAACAGCTTAATGAGAAATTATCTGTTCCAAGGCTTGAGATCCAGCCTCAGAAACAAAGCAAGGAGGAAAGACATCAGAAATTATCAGAGAGAAGCAGCTTTTTCTTTGGAGTCGCTCTGCAGAGAGAAGGATTATTCCCAACTGGAAAACTCAGAGGACAGGAGTGGACAGCTGCATGTCTCGTGGCATAACCATGAGAGTCCAAATCATTCTTAAATTGAACAAACAGAAACAGTGGACTCTGGAGTTTTAAGATTTTCCACGTTGAGAATAATAGCGAAGCTAGTTCTAGTCTTAGTTTGGCATGTAGTAATTGGTTGTTAGCACCACAGAGAGAGTTATAGCTACAAAAGACCTCCATGTGAGGAGCTTATAACCCCCCCCCCCCCAAGCATTTAATCATGTTTTCAAAAAGGTGTCACAACTCTATGACGCGGTTATCCTCTTAAAGGCAGCTGTCTGGATTTTGCTAGCGATGAGCATAATCTCGTTTAGCCGCGAGGCAGAAAGACGGCAGCGCGTCCCTCAGAAGTTTAAACCTCGAAGGCGAGAGAGAGAGAGACGAGGAAAGTCAGAGTTTTTTTTTTTCCCGTCAGGATGGGGAACTCAAAGAGCAGCGCTCTGTCCAAGGAGCTCCTGGAGGACCTGAAGTCCAACACCAAGTACTCGGAGACGGAGCTGAGCACCTGGTACCAGTCCTTCCTGAAGGAGTGTCCCACGGGGAAGATCACCAAGGAGCAGTTCGAGGGGATCTACGCCAGCTTCTTCCCGGGCGCCGACCCCACGGCCTACGCCCGCCACGTCTTCCGCAGCTTCGACACCAACGCCGACGGCACGCTGGACTTCAAGGAGTACATCGTGGCGCTGCACCTGACCTCGGGGGGGAAGACTCTGCAGAAGCTGGAGTGGGCCTTCGCCCTGTACGACGTCGACGGCAACGGCACCATCAGCAAGAGCGAGATCCAGGAGATCGTCAGGGTACCTACGCCTCATTCCTGCTCCCACAAAAAACACAGAAAGGAGGCCACGATTGGGCTTTTAAAGATCCAGGCTCCTGCTGTTTATGTTTATGCATTTGGCAGACGCTTTTATCCAAAGCGACTTACAGAGTAGACACAATAATACATTTATCATCACTATGACAATAAGCTATACAGAGGAGAAACACTGATCAGAGTCAGTGGTGAGATAGAGATAGAGGTAGAGGGACTACAGAAGGAGCTGTGGGGGGGTAGAGGTTCGGGTTAGGGTTAGGATAGGAGATGAGATCCTGCTGTTAGTGGTTAGTTAATGGTCAGGGTACCTACCGAGGGGGAAATAAGTATTTGACCCCTTGATGATTTTGCAGGTTTGCCCACTTACAAAGAATGCAACGATCTATAACTTTAATCATATGTACATTCTAACAGT